CGGCCACTTCTAGATGGTCTCCAGGATGGACGTAGTCGAAGATGCTGCTGCCGGTCAGCTCCACCTGGAAGAGCAAGGAGAGGTTGAAAGGTCAACTGGGGGAACCGTCAGCAGGCCTTCAATTGCTCTGGAACCCACCTGGGGTCCCCCCCCCCTCCCAGCTCTAAACCCATGATATCTAAAGCAGGGAGGGAAGGGAAGAAAAGAAGGAAGGGAAGGAAGGAAGGAGAGAAAAAGAAAAGGAAGTGTATAATTCTTGGGAAAACAAATAAAATGAAATCTTAAATTCTTCTCTCGGAATTTCTCCCTGCCCATCATTTACTTGGGGGGGGGGTGGATCCCATGATCTACGAGACCAAAGCAATCCCACCCACCCCCATTACGCTCCACAGCCCATCTGTGTGCTCAGCATCCCACAATCCCCCTCGTCCCCCTTATCTCAGGAGGCCCCCTCTTGCCAGGGGTGCCCGGATGCCTCTGCGAAGGACGCCCCCAGCCCCATTTCTCTGTCCTGTCCTGCTCCCAGGCCACCCCTCTCCCCCGCACAAGGAAGTCACATTCAAAGTTAGTCCTGGGGGGGTGCGTGGAACCTCCCGACCCCCCCCACTTCTTTGAGACCCTGCCGGGTCCTCGATGCAGACCCCTGGCCCAGATTCCCAGACGGCCAGAGCCTCTGGCTCACGTCCCCTGCATGGCAATGAAGGCAGGGCACAGGAATCGATAAATCATAATGCAGAAGTATTGGCTTTCCCTGGTGAGGGCCGCATGCATTCAAAGGAGCTAGTCCTCATTAAAGATGCGGCAGCTACTTCTCGGCCGGAAGAACTGAGGAAGCCGGAGAAAGGGAGAAGTCGGAGGGGTGGGAGGGGGAGCATTTGGGGGTGGGGGTCCTGTTGGGGAGAGCCGACATGGCTGCTTCTAACAGCTGGCAGGGTTTTCAATGCTGGGTCTTCCTGCCCAACGTCCATTGTGACCTCCACAAACACAACTGGGGAGGGAGGGAGGCCGTTTCACACAGCGGCCTGGCTGTGTGGAGGAGTAGCTGGTGCATCTTTAATGAGGACTAGCTCCTTTGAACCCTCCCAGCTTGCACAGATCCCAGTGCAAGAATCCCGGGTGCAAACCGTGAGCGAGAGCAAAAAATAAAAAATAAAAATTTGCAGCTGGAGAAAAGAGCAAAGGGCCAAGAAGATTTATTCATATTTATTTATATAAATATATATTTATTTACTTTATTTATTTATTGGTTTTTGGTTTCTATAGACACCTATTTCAGCAAACAATTCCGGGCAGCTCACAATTCAAAGCAGGCACAGGCAGTCCTCGACTTACGACCACATTCGGGCCCCAAATTTTTGTTGCGAAATGCGTTTCGCCCCGTTTTACAACCTTTCTTGCCACAGTCGCTAAGCAAAATCCCTGCCGTTGTTAAGTTAGTCACACGGTTGTTAAGTGAATCCGGCTTCCCCTCTTACTGGTCAGAAGGGGATCGTGTGACCCCCACACACACACACGGGACCCTGCAACCGTTGTAAGTCTGAGTCAGTTGACAAGCGTCCAAATTTTGCTCACGTAGGCAACGCTTGTGTGGAAAATGGTCGTAAGCCCCTTTTCAAAGCGCCGTTGTAACTTTGAACGGTCAGTAAGCAAATCTTTGTAAGGGGAGGGCTAGCTGTATCACGATTAAAATGTAAAAATGGATAAGGATAAGCCTTTACTGTCGTTTTTTTTTTAAATGGGAGCTCACAGGCCCACATCAGAAATGAAATTCGGCTGCCTGACCTCAAAAGCGAACGTTGTATTTTCCAAACTATAAGACGCACTTTTTTGTCTCCCAAAAGGGGGTGAAATTTTCTGTGCATCTTATAGACTGAGTATTGCTGAAGCCCCGTCCACCCACCGGCCATTTTTTGGCCTTCGCACAGCCCGATTCCGAGGCTTTTTTTGGCCCGTTTCCCCCCCCCAAAAAAATAGGCCACAAAAGCCTAAAAACAGGCTGAAAAAAGCCTCAAAAACGGCCTTAAAAGGCCTCAAAATGGGCCGAAAAAAGCCTTAAAAATGGGCCAAAAAAGCCTCAAAAACAGGCTGAGAAAAGCCTCAAAAATGGGCTGAAAAAAGCCTCAAAAACAGCTGTAAAAGGCCTCAAAACGGGTCAAAAAAAACCTCAAAAATGGGCCAAGAAAAGCCTCAAAAACAGGCTGAGAAAAGCCTCAAAAATGGGCTGAAAAAA